GGCCACCTTGCAAACACTTCAAGCACAAATGCAAAACAGGGAACACTTACAAAGGAGAGGTATTCATGAACTGTCAAAAAAATAAAATAAAATGTATACATAACAAAGGAAAAGCCAAACACAGAAACAAGACCAAAAGTTAACTATGATTGACAGCAAAGCTATGTATTTAACATGGCAACATGCTGAGAAATTAATATTCTTAGTCACTGGATTCCAGTTAACTTTTTTTTCCTACTTCGAGTTTTTTTTTAAATCATGCATCTCTTTTAATTCAATTATGCTATTTTCGAATGCTGAGAAGTTGGAAACTACTTAAATGTTCAAAAAGAGAGGAGGGCAAATTTAGAAAATTAGCTGAGAAGATAACCTTAAGTGTCTAGTGACAGGTGGTACAGTATAAATGATCTATAATATACATAGTTTATATTTCTTGCACTGTCTCTTCCTTGTAAAAGCAACACACATTCCTTACATAAGAATCAGAAAATATGATCAATAGAACTTAAGGAATATCCACAATCCCATCTACCTAGAGACAACCCCTGTTAACTCTTTGCTAGCTAGCCACCTAGATCCTCTTGCAGTATGTAGAATACAAGGAATGCATTCCCATAGTATTCTGTACTCTACCATAATTTAGCCATCCAGCTATCAGATACTTAGATGTTGCAAATAATGCCCCTTTGTTTGACGTGTAAACAGTTACTAATTTTTACTATTATAACTTCAAGGAGGCAAAAACAAGAATTTAAGTGCAAAGATGAAAAGGACTCTAAATCATTCATGCATGAGCTTATTGAACGAACATATGTTAAATATATGTTTATATTTAACCTACTATGTGCCACGCCCTTTGCTAGATGCTGGGGATGCAGTAAATAGATGTTTCATACCCTCATAGACATCAGGGAAGAAACAAACACATAGAATTACAAACATTTAAATAGTGATGATATGAGCAATACAAGCTTTACCAAATACATTAGAAAAACCAGCGAACACAGAGATAAAAATTCTTGAAACATCTGTGGTAGTACCTCCATTATGGCAGTGACCAAACTGCTCTCTGAAAATCACCTCCCTACAAATCACCTGAACTCTTCATTCTTGTGTTCTATTATGTAAATTACTCATTATTTCCCTAAAACTGAAATCCCAAATTACAAAGACTCAGCAGCAAACCAAATGTAGAGTGGGGTCATCATGCAGCTGGTGGACATTCTTCATCAATAGGTGTATATGAGACTGTGCTTCCTAGAATTACAGAGTTGAGTGACCGTTGCTCTGGGCTCTTCCTGAAAAATCACATGGCGCTAACACATTCCAATAACCTTATTAACTTTCACATACAATTTTCTGAACAGGTCTATTTATAACCTACCTGCCATGCCTTATCCCTACTTATGAACAAAACTGAGGCTCACAGAGATAGGTCATGTATCCAGAGACACAGTCTGAACAGGCTGTCAGGTAGAGTATTTACTTTGCATTCTTCTTCCTTCCTTCCTGCCGTTACCAACAAGAGAATAGCTACGGCTCAGGGTGAGTCTGCCTGCTCCCAGGGTACCGCCTTATAAAATGGATTCATGTGTCATGATCTGAAAGGAACAGAATCAGTAAACCTACCCCAAGAGAAAGGCTGTTACAGAGTTCATCCCATGGGATGCTGCCCCTTTCCCTCAGAGCCAAGCTGCTTTGATTCTTAGCAACCACAGAGCAGAGCACATACACATGCTCCTGAGAGGCAGACAACCTGCCGCCTCAGGACTGCCACAACCAACCCTACCGTGAGTGCAAATCTCCCAACACTGAGAGCTTGTCTTCCCATCCTTCCCACCCCAAAGAGGGAAGACCGCTTCTGTCATTTCAAGGAACTTAAAGCCACACACATCTCAGGATCTTCTCCAGCATTATTCCTGAGGTCTCCACAGAGGCAGGTGAAGGACTCTGCTCCGGGTCACCTGCCCATATTCTGTAACAAAGGCCGGGGCCAGGGATTAGGTGTTAAGAGTGTAAGGTTCTGTGTGTTCTGGAGTTAGAGCCTGGGCTGAATGCCCAGAGCTGATATTTACCCTCTCAAAGCCTCAGTTTCCTTAAAAATTAATAATAAAAGGCAGACCATAATAGTACCCCCACTGACTTGTTAGAGGGTTAAATAAAATAGTATTTGTAGGTCAGCATAGCAATGGCGGGGACCATGCACCCAGTGATGAATTTTGCCGGTTATGAGTTTCATTTAAATGATAATTAAAAAGTGAAAGTCACAGAGAAAAAGAGGAAAGATCTAGAGAGGGGGAAAAAGCACAGGAATTTTGGTCCCGAAGGTCATGATTTCAATTTTATTACAACATACCAGTCTTATGGCATAAAAAAGTGAGCATTTCAACAAAAATTTCTGACCTCACATTAAAAACTAGAATTTTAAGCATGTTTTAACAAGAGTTAAAGCTATTCAGGAAGACGGAAGGTTGTGATATTTCAAATGATAGAGAAAAAACATTATTTGAGTCTGAAGAATCATCCATTTTTAATATAATGAAAATTTGAATCTGATGTAACTAATTGCTCAAACCTCTCTTGCATGTACTATGGCAAGATGATAAACGATGTCAAAGCCTAAAGAGAGGAATAAGAATTCTTTATCTGCAACAGGAATCCCTGGGGTATTCTTCCATAATGTATAGGTCTGTAACAGATACGCAACAAGAGAATTTAAGATGATATCATTTGACATACTAATCCAATGTTACCTCACACAATGTCATCACACATACTTGGAGGTTTACTAAGTGACAGATAGTTAATCTTGTACTTCTTAAAAATGCCATAGGAAGCATTTGGCATAATTAGTTGTGTTCCTGCCTTATCACCTGCTCAAGGATACCAGACAAAGAGCAACCCGAGAATTCCGGTGTTTCCAAAAATTCAGATTTAAGGCCAACTTTGAACTTTACTATTTATAAATCATATATTCAGCTACTGAAGTCAGCACAAGCTACAGATGTGCTTTGTTACAAGGCACATGCTTAATTTAGGAAAAGTAGATATTTTGCTTTTTTTGTTTAAAAAAAAAAGTTTATCATATTTCTGAAGACTATGCTATATGGCTTTTAAACAGGAATTAAGATTAAAAACAAAACAGCAGGGCTAAGAAGGTCAGATACAATTCTGACCGTTCTTCCTTCACATAAGTCTCCAATATTAGGATTCTCAAATAACCTAATTTACAATTCTCAATCCATTCCCAAATAGCCAAATGATTGATATATTTATTTGAGATGGAGTCTTGCTCTGTTGCCCAGGCTGGAGTACAGCTGTGCAAATCTCGACTCACTGCAACCTCTGCCTCCCAGGTTCAAGCAATTCTCCAGCCTCAGCCTCCCAAGTAGCTGGGATTACAGGTGCCTGTGCCCACCACCACTCCTGGCTAATTTTTTTGTATTTTTAGTAGATGGGGTATCGCCATGTTGGCCAGGCTGGTCTCCAACTCCTGATCTTAAATGATCTGCCCATCTCAGCCTCCAAAATTGCTGGGATTATTGGCATGAGCTACTATGCCGGGCCTAGCCAAATATTCAAATAAGTATGTGCTGACCCTGGAAACATAAAAGAATCTGATAAAAAGCCTCAGCAGTTTTAAGTGTCAGTTCTTTTAAGTTTTATTTTGTTCTTAAGATACAATAACTGTTACCTATTTATGGGATACAATGTGATGTTTCAATACACATAAGTTGTTTAATGACCAAATCAGGGTAATTAGCATATACCTGTCATTTCTTTGTGGCAAGAACATTGAAATCCTCTCCTAGTTTTTTTAAAAATACAGAAAACATTAACTACATTTACCCTCCTGTGCAATACAACTCTGCAGTTGATTCTTCCTGTCTAACTGCAGCTTTGTATCAATTGACCTACCCACCCTCCTCCCCAGCCTCTGGTAACCAATATTCCAACTTTCTACTTCTACGTGCCAACTTTTATGCCATATATAAAAATAAGAATGCTAATAACACGACTTTAATTTTTAAAAGAGCATCAGGACAGTTATGCTGGAAACTCTCACTGGGACAATAAAAGGTGAAATGTTTCTTTCAGCAAAATGGTTCTTGCTTCACCAACGACTGTGCAAAACTCCCAGCCTTGAAAATGACTGATCTGCAGGGAATCCTAGCTGAGTTACCTGACCTACCTGTTGAGCAGAAGCCCTAGAGAGCTTCGTCTCTGAGACTTCATTAAGCTGCGTTCAGCACAATTCAAAAAGGTTATAGATACAAAGAGGAGTTACTCCTGCAGGATCACTCCTAAAAGGTCAGCAACTAGTTAGTGAGAATGCCTGAATAACAATAATAACCTTTCAAAGAAGGAGTAACCATTATTTTACAGAAACAGACCGAAGTGACACCGGAGTTACAAAGTCAGTTTGGGGAATTCTGCTGCACAAGATCCTTAAACAAGTAAGGGCCCCGTTCTTAACCTGCAGCTCTGATCCAAAGAGCACTAAGGGCATCACCCACTCTGAGATCAGGGCAGCCTCTTTTAACCCCTGTTTATAGAGTAGCTGGTTGCAGGTGAGAGAGCTGGGATGATGCTGTCCTTGTCCCCCCCACCCCCCGCCCACGCGAAAAGAAGCAAAATGATCTTTTTTTTTTTTTTTTTTTCTTGTATATGGCAGGTACTTCCAGTTTAGGGAAACCTGCAGCAGTTCACCAAGCAGTAAAATCTCAATACGCATTTATTTCACAAACCTCCATTATGTCTTAGGCGCGGTTCTTCGCGCTTTATAAAGGTTGACTCATTTGATTCTTAAAATAATAACCTTTTAGGTACGGAAAATGGTGCAAACAAAATCCATGAAGATGGTGACTTTCTACCCATCCCAGCCGCTTTGCAAGGAAATAACCAAACTTCTAGTCCCCAGGTCAAAAAGCAAGGAAATTAAAACCCAGCCGGGAAAGGTCAAGGACAAACGCCGCAGGCGCGCGGAAGCCAGTCGTTACCGTCCACAGGGCCCTGGCGGTCCGAGTCGCGGCTCATCTCTGCTCCCCAACTCCGCGCTGCCCCGGACGCGGCTTCCGCAGTCTGGGCGGCGACTGTGGTTGCTGAGGCAGCGCCCCCCGGGGACCGGCAGGTGCACCAGGCAGCAGCCGAGCGCACACTAGTGCCAAGGGAGGGACGAGGACACGCGCGCTCCTTTCCCTTTGCGATCCGAGGCTCCGGTGCTGCGGCTCTCTGCTAATATTTAGAGCGCTGCTGGCTGCGTTGCCACAGGCTTGACCCAGGGCCAGGGTGTCTCCTCCTTTGCGGGGAAGGGGTGGGAAAGTGTGTCGGAGCCTGGGTAATCAGGGTAGGACAAGGCTGGGTACGCCCCTACGAGCCCTCCCAGGATACAGGCTGGGCTGAGCAGATGAGTGGCTCTCGGCCAGGTGACCTTTCCAGCGTCCAGTTCTTTGGAGTAACCACTTCGCAGAGCCTCAGCCACCCGGAGGAGCCCCAGGCTAAATATGATGCCTGCATCATAAAATAGTTTCCCCCAGGTCATCAGCTGAGGGAACCTATTTTAGGGCAGCTGTGGTGACCAGGATCCCCTACCCATTCATTCAGCTCTGCCCTGACATTTAAGAGTTCTACAAGCGAATCCTTCTCCTTCTCCACTTTCAGCTTCGTGTGTGTGTGTCTGCAAAATTTTAAGTGTGGAAAAGGGAAATGGTAGGGGGTGGTGGGCAAGTTGTTGCCTTATAGTAATGAGTAAAAGGAGGTGGTAAAAGGTAAAATCTTGTAAAAGGCTCGATATTTGTCTGGTCTTCATATTAAAATTTTCTCACGCTGTATTTGTTCCAGCAAGCCTTTGAAATTTTAGTTTGTCATGTTCCTATTGTACATTTAAATTTAATTAGTGAGTCTAGCTTTTTTGTCATTCCTCCAACAGGCTTTGTGTTTAAAGTTAAATTCCTTTAGGAGCTTTTAACTGAGGCTGTCGATGTGATATAAACACTTAATGCCATTTCAAGCACATTTATGACAACTACATTTATGGAGCTGCATTTGTAATCCAGATCTCTCAATGGGCTAGAAAAAAAAAAAAATATCCTGCTTTACATTTGCAAATGCTTAGTGTCACTTCTTAGCAGGTGAATTTTTTCCTCTAGTAAGCATAATTGTTGTTCATATTAGTGAAGACAGTGCAGACCTTTCTTCCGAATAAGAATAGATTAGTAACTCCGATTGTTGGTATGTTAGAAATAAAGGCAAGACCCTAAAGATAAATTTCATAAAGACTGTGTAAGTTTCTGAGAACCCCAGTCTTTTGTATCCAGTCTCACCAGAAAAATCACTGAGATCTATAAATAACTTAAGGAGTTAACCTTCTGTAACTGTATTAAATATACTGAAGTGCAGTCATGTGTTGATTAATGATGGGAATACATTCTGAGTATGCAGATCCATTGTGCAAACAATGCAGAGTGTATTTACACAAACCTAGATGGTAAATTGTACAACACACTTAGGCTACATGATATAGCCTATTGCTCCCAGACTGCAAACCTTTACAGCATGTCACTGTACTAAATAGTGTAGGCAACTGTAAGACAATAGTAAGTAACTATGTATCTAAACATAGAGAAGGTACAGCAGAAGTACGATACAAAAGATAAAATAACACGTTACATCTGCATAGGGCATTTACCATGATGGGAGCTTGTAGGATTGGAAGTTGCCCTGAGTAAGGCAGTCAGTGAATATTAAGTGAGAATGAAAGCCCTAGGACATTACTGTACACTACTGTAGACTTTAGAAACACTACCTTTAGGCCATACTAAGTTTATTAAAAATAATTTCCTTTAAATTAATTCTAGCTTATTGTAACAAATCTAAAAATGTAAAAACGTTTCTATAAGTGTTTTAAGTTGGTAAACTTTTTGACTTGACAACACAGCTTAAAACACATTGTACAGATAAAAAATTTTTACATCCTTATTCTATAAGCTTTTGGGTTTAATTTTTTACCTTTTTAGTTAAAAACTAAGACACAAATATTCACGTAGGCTTATACAGGGTCCAGATCATCAATATCATTGTCTTGTACCTCCACATCTTGTCTCCCAGGAAGGTCTCCAGGGGCAATAACACACATAGAGCTGTCATCTCCTATGATAACGATGCTGCTTTCTGGAATACCTCCTGAAGGACCTGCCTGAGGCTGTTTTACTGTTAACTTTTAAAAATATATATGTATGAGGATTGCATTCTAAAATAACTTAGTATATAGTTAATATAGTATGATAAACGTATAAACCAGTAACATAGTTGTTTGTTATTATCAGGGATTATGTATTATACATAATTGTGTGTTCTGTACTTTCAGATGACTGACACTTTAGGTTTGCTTCCACCAGCATCACCACAAACACATGAGTTAATACATTGCACTACAACATCACAACGGCTACAACGTCACTACGTTTCGGCTACGTTAATTATACTCTTAAGGAACCACCATCATGTATGTGGTCCGTAGTTGACTAAAACATTAGGCAGCAGATGACTGTATACACCCCAGCAACTTTTTCACTTTGGTTTTTCTTAGCATTTTAATAAGAAAATCCTCTCCACTCCAGTTCAGGATAGTGACCGGTGGCAGCTGCTGCTAAATTTCGCATTTCTCTTTATGACAAAGCAGGGCCTGCAGGGGCCACAGTCAATTTATAGACCTGGACAAAGATCCCCCCAAGCAGGGAATACGCCTTTCAAAATTTTAGATTGAAAACCAGAAACTGCTCTATAGTGCACCTCTTACTGACTTATTTCAACTATCACATTTATCCCTGTAACAAAGGCATTGTCGAGTAATTGAAAAATATAATACACTTTCCCTGTGCCAGACACTAAGGATTTTTAGACAAATCCTGCCCTCAGAGCTCAGTATAATTGAGAGAGAGAGATGCTTAAAACCAGCTAACCTTTCTTAGATGTTTTATTTTCTGTGAAAGATAAGGGGTATTGAGGAGCCGCAGCTGACGGGATGGCTAATTCTAACAGGGGGATTAAAAAATGTCTCCAACCACAAGTGACCATTTTGAAATACTTGGAAAAATTCACTGATAGTTTGCCATGTACTATGAACTAGGTAGTCTGCCAGATGCTTTCCATACATTCCCTTTTCTAAACCTTGTATGAATAGGAATTATTATTGTCCCATTTTGCAAATGGATAAACTGAGGTTCAGACTAAGTAACTTCCTAAGAATCCAGAAATGAAGAGTTTCAGAATCAGAATGGGAATACAGCTGTCATTTAAAAGTCTGTTTCCCATCTCTACAGTGGACTGCATTGATTATCAAAGATACTTTCTACATTCCTTGTAGTATAAAACTTTTCATGTAAACCTTTCACAAAGTCTTTTGCAAGTAAAAAGATAAGCCACATGGTGTTGCAGGAAGCTGGACTGCACCCAGGCAGTCAGAATTCCCTCACAGAGGAAGCTCCACTTGTCATGACAAGATAGAACACACAAAAGACTCTTTAAAAAGAACTCGGAAATTGGTATCCCAGGCAGGACTGCTGCGGAAATAGCATTCATTAATTTATAAATTTATTCATCATTTGCTGGGCATCTATATTAAACACACTTTTTATGGAGGCTAACGTCATCCCAGCAACAGATTTGCCAACAATTTGTTGTTGTTTCAACAACAAATTTCATTCTAATTGCCAAGGAATTAGAAATGTACATGAAGAGAAAGAAAAAAGTTACTTCATGCAGAGTTGGCCAGTAGGCCAATTTATTTAAAGTTGAGAAATATGCCTTTTGCTGAATAGGAAGTGAAAGAAGATCCCAAGCTTCTATTCCAATGAGAAAGTCTCTGCCAGTCACATCTACCCAAGAGGGCCCCCAATTTGTGTGGGTCTGGAAATCTGGAGGCATACTCAACAGAGAGGCAGCAAAATGCAATGATTTAAGAATCCAGCCTTTGGTGTCAAACACTATGTTCAAATGCTGACCAGTCCCATCAATGGTGACTCAACACTGGGTCAGTCCAATACTATCCAATGAGTGAGTAACTTGGGCAAGTGATAGAACTAACCTAAGACTTCACATCTGTAAAGTGGGATTAATAGTATAACCTCTAAGGAACATTTGTGTGAGATCTCTGTATTAGTAAAGAAGTGCTCTCCATTGCTGATGGCAGACATCTAAATTAGCAGTGATTTAAGCAAACTAGGGGTTTTTTTTTTTTCCATTTTACACAGAAAATGTGGAGGTAGACATAGCCTAATGTTATTACAGTTCTATATTTTAATTTTCTTCTCTAGCATCTTTAATGCAGGCTTCCAGCCTCAGAACTTTCTCATGGCCTTCTAATTCCTGCCAGAACTCTGGAGGGCTCCTGTCACTCTTCCAAACTAAGAAGAAAAGGAAAGTGGTAAAAGCGTACCTGGCAGTTGATTCAGACCCCTTTAAATAACTTTCCCAGTAGCTTTGTTCAACAACTATTTAAAATTCAATAGACACTTCCTCTCAAGGGTGGCTGGGAAATGTGGGTCTGTGAATGGTGGACACTTTCGGGCTTGTGCTATAGAGGAAAAAAAGAACGGAGATTGGGTAGACAGGCAGCAACATCCACTCTAGTTATAAACAGATTTGACCCAGTGCCACAAAATAAGTACTCAAAAAAAAGTATGCTAGAAAATAAGATTCCTGACAAATGATAATAGCATTGGTCTAAGTGTGTGTGTGTATGTCTGTGTGTCTCTGTGTTGGGGCTGAGTGTTAGTTTGGATCAGATACTTATGAAAGAAGCAGAACAGTTATTTTTTTTTTTTTCTCCAGTTACTGTATGTTTTAAGCTGAGCTCAAAACTTCCAGGAAACATTTAGGTTACAATCTTTTGCACACTTTGATGCTAAACACCTGCATAGGGACAGAGTCACTTCACAGAAGAACTCTAGGCCAAGAGAAAGAAAGAGAGCTCAACAATTCACAGAAGCAAAAGTGGGAAGGTGGGAGAGAAAAAATAAAGGGATCTAACATGTACTGCTTGCAGACCACCTACATCACATCTGCCTATCCTAAGACTGGTTTTACAGCAATCAGTTGGGAGCATATCAAGGCCACACAGGCTTGACTGGAGGTTGTAAAGATGGAAAATCAGACTTGGCAGTTAAGCAAGAACCAAGCTCTGGAAGTTCAGAAAATAGGAAGCACCACAAGTAATTTTGTATAGGGATGAGTCTGGTGAAGAACCCCCTTTGTCCCGCTGCTGCAAGAAAGCCCCATGGCTACCATCGGATCTTATCTCAAGTACTCAGAGAATCCAGTTTATTTAAATTTTACTTTAAGTTCTAGGATACATGTGCAGAATCTGCAAGTTTGTTACATAGGTATGTGTTTCTTACATGGGTTTGTTGCATGTGCTAGGGTCGTTTGCCTAAAGGAGGGGTCAATAGGTGAATCCAGTTTCTTTGTATCCCTTGAT